AATTGATGAGCATTTATGATTACAGGTTACGGTCTCGTGACTGAGGAATGCCCAACTCATGCAGTGGGATGCAGAATTCGAGCAAAGAAAGATCATATTGGTAAGTTAAAAAAACTTCTTATTTAGTTTTTTTTTAGAAAACTTTTTAATTAGAGAACGATTTTCTTTCGATTCCATTTTAAATTTAAAACATTTAATCTCTTCAGGAAAAAAGATATATGTATACTTACGATAAAACCTGTATTAGGAGGACCAGACTTTTAAGAATATCAATCCCCTTGATAAAATATCAATCCCCTTGAACAGTTGATTTTTAGAGTGGTACGAACTATCTCGCCTCTACGATCGGAACCAACTCGTATGCGTTTATCCAGAGGAGTACAAATCAATGACAGGTATTAGTTTCCAATATCATCAGCAATATATACTTACATTTATCACAGGATGTATGAGAAAACCATCTGGAAGTGTTCGCTGCTGGTGTGGAGGACGTGAGAATTGCAATGATCCGGAGACGAGTAGAGATCTGTATGAAGCGTTTACTGAAGGAGACAACGATGCGGTGGAAAAGATTTCAGAGTGGTTGAAATCGGAAAAAGATGAGAGCTGTGAGGCTATATGGAAATCAATATTTGAAATATTGAAATTACAGCTTGGAAAAAGTTCACCACTACGGAAGAGGTTCCAACTACTACCACAAGAATAACAACGACTCCAAGGCGGACGACTGTTCGAAAAACCACAACAACCACAACGACGACGACGTTAACGACTACACAGAAGTAAGTAGGAATTTGTCCAAGGGGATATTTATCAAAATCTGCAACTTTATTAAGTGGAGTCTGGTTTGACTTTGAAAATTTGATCTTTGTTGATTCTTAACATCTCATAACTTCAGACCAACTACAACAACCACCACGACCAGTCCTCGCCCAACTCCCAAGAAGTCCACAAAAAGGATCGGATCATTGAAGAATCCGACCACTTCGGTTCCTCCTCTTTTCCCAAAAGATGCATCCAAAGCTAGAGTGATCAATATTGTTGATATTCGTGATAAGGTAGAAACTTTCGTTTGAAATTCTCATTGCATTAAAACTGTAAATAAGACGTTTTCCATTGAAATACATTTGATCTGCAGGCTGTTCCTCTTCCAAATGACGACATTTCACTGGACGACACATTTGAAGAGACTCGCAAAAAACTGGTGAGAAAATATTGAAATCTGAGAATATGAACGATGATGACGTGATTTTTTTTTTGATTTTTAGGAGAAGGAGATGAAAGAAGAGGACGAGCGACTGAGAGAAATGTTAGCTGATGAAGAAGAAGAAGAAAATTCAAACGGTTAGATTCCAGATATACGATTGATCGATTGATTCTTTAATATTTTCAGATATCTCGGATATCGAAGATGAAGATGTCACGGCGGAGGAGCAACGAGAAGAAGAAAGAGAAAGATACCGAATGGAGAGGTAAACATTTTGGGAGCATATCGTACACGATATACGATACATCAGATGAATCTGGAAAACGTTTTTTTTTCTGTTAGAGCGAATAACCTATCACATGATTTTTTCTAATTCAACGAGCAACGAAAGACGGAATCTAAATTTTAAAGAAACTATTCAAATTCCAGAAGACGTGCCGAAGAACGCCGCCTACAAGAAGACACAATTCTCCGTCGAATCGAAGA